GATAATTGATAAATATTAGAGTATATTATGTATATGAGATACGTATGAGAGCTCCCTTCATGAATTCTCCTGTTGGGTATCTGTAGTGGTCAAAAATTGGTGAAAAGTCACGCCCAAATTGGTTTTCAAAAGAGTTCCAATCGAATAAGGAAAGTTACACTCGCACGCGAATTTTTTGTCTCTACACAGTAGTCAGTATTTTTATCATAACTTTGTCTTCCAATATCTGATTGAGTTGATTCAAAATGCATTGAAAAGCTAACTAAGAGGGCTACAATTTTCCTAGAGATAGATATTTTTCAATTCGGACGCTTATTATGCCTAAAATTGGTTGCAATTCTTGAAAAAAAAAATCTGGAAGATATATCATGTAATTGAAAGTTGATTTATGGTAATATTCTGATGATATTTCATTCCTTTTTGACTTCTAATTGCATCAAATTGACTCCCATCAATCTTTAAAATATCTCTCATGGTCCAATTCAACCATTAGATAATTGCAATTTGGTCTTCAACGTTGTACTTCGTCGATTTTTGCTTCTTTCTTTCAATTTAACTTCCAACCATCGAGTTTTACATAATAAATGAAATATACAATAAATTAAGCTATAATTACTTTAAAGAACTATTAAATGTCTATATTTTTAGATCTACATAAGTATATAAAATACATTTATCAGTAAGCTTGAAAATGATTATGAAAAATGAAATCGAAACTTATACACACATAATATTTGATAAAAAATTTAAAAGTGTAGTAATATTTACATCCATCATGAGGATGGAAAGGTGGCCACGCGCAAATAAAAATATTTCAAGTGGCTAAGAACTTGAAATTGCACAAACAGAAAATTATAGCGTTTTCCATAAATTGCTTCCAAATTTGATCAAAGTCAAAAGACTCAAAACATTAATTTCATCAGTACATTCTTAGTGCATCCCTGTAAAAGGGAGATTCTCTTCAGATAAATAATTAAAAAAAAGAAAAAAAAAGGGACCACTCTATTCCTACAGTTTTTTTCATATCAATTTTCACAGCGCACACACGTGCAAGTGGGTGGGGTTCACGATTAAAATAATCGCAGACCCCACCTTTGTGAAAGGAGTGCAAAAATTATTGTGAAAAAAATGACGTACAAATAGGATAATTGAAAAAAGAATATATTCTGCTTCATCGTCAGGACAGACACTGAAAACATATAAATCAGCAGATAATCAAAATGGGCTAGGGATTGCACGTGGGACGATAGGATGGCCTATAAATGTGTTAGAAATGACAATTACTTCATAAAAGTGAATAGCCGGTTGTCTAAATCGTTTAATTTGTCATTAGAAAGTTTTATGTAGATATTATCAAGATGTGATTATTTAATCAAGACATTAATCTAACCAAAATCGAACGTGCTCGTAGTAAGTTATTTGATACCAAATTTAAATTGGCTCCAAATCCATCCCTTCAAGTTCGCTAACTAAGAATAATGTTATTAACTAAAATCAATGTAAATTCTATTATAATTACATGTGGTGCAGTTATTTAACAATTTTTGTGGGAAGTTTACAGACATGAAGCTGGTGGACAACACAACAATTTGTATTCTTAAGACCTTAAACCAAGTATTTATTTCAAGCTTGAAGAGTTTAGTTAAACTCAATTTTGATCAAGATAATCCAATGTCAATTCAAAAATCTAAATATAACAATCATCTTGCTCGCGGCACTAAATTTATAGAGCGAGAAAATGGAAAAGAAAAAAAGAAGTAAAAATGACAAAACTTAAAAGATCCGACAAATATTTCATACCCATACCCAGGTCCTATCATGTCCAACACAAGTATTCCTACTATTTCGAAGAATCCGAACTTCAGAGTTCTAGACCGACAAAGGGAAAAAAAGATTATATATCAGCAAAGTAAAACATTAATAACTAACAGCAGTTGGCCTTTGGCCGTGATTAAAAATAGGCTTTCTAGTAACTTTCTTTTGCAGCATGCAAAGCAGCTAAGAATTTTCTTTGGAGCATGAGCAAACATAATAAACCTTTCTTTTTGATAAATTTATAGTCACTAAAAGTTGAGTCAATAAAAACTTCTTTTATTACTTAATCAGGCTCACATCAGTATTTTGAAAAAAAATAAAATAAAATAAAAATTACATTGTATTAAAGTATATAGCCTCAGAGATATCCAGTGATTTCCTGCTTTCATACAGCAACTGTAGTAGGTTCTCCCTGTAAAACAGGGACTTGAGGCCATCTACACCTCAATTACGTGGATTAACTCCTCATATATAAGATAACGTTCTAGCTTCCAACACAAAATTATTAAATTTTGGCAAAAGAAATTAGAAGAACAGTAACAAGAATGATTGGTTAATGAAATAATCAATGCAGGGAGATTATTAAAATTTGGGAAAATAACACATAATGCAGAAGAACTATTTTGTGTTAAAATGGCTAACAGAAAATCATAGATATATCAATGAACAATTTTCTCAACCAGAAGTGACAGTGATAAGCAATAAAAAGCAGTAAAAATGCTTATCACTGCCAACACCAACTGAAACTATAAATCGAATTGTAAAAATCAGAAAACATATATAAATAAAATATAATAAAACTATGATTTGTCTCATCAACCATTACTTCGATATTGTGTTTCAAAGTTGACCTTGTTCACAAAGTTGAGTGGTCGAAGAATAAAAGGACGCAGAGATTTGACGAGTTTGTGATTCAACCCTGGTGGAGGGTGATGAAACTGGGATTCAAGACGAGAAAGACAAGAGGGTGGCGCCTATGGTTTAGCATGTAGAACGAGATATATTGGTATTGAGCCAAAGTAATAAACATGTACAACATACGGTTTTGAGAAATTATTTACCTAATAAATAAACAATCATATGGTCATCTAAGACAATTACAACTATATACAAGATCAGACACAAAGATAACCAAATCTTTCCTTAGAAAATAATGCATGACACAACACAAAAACTAAAATATCTACAGCAGTTCTAGTCACAAATTTTATAAACATTAACTAGAATTATACTTCAAAATATAGCCAATTGTATAGATCATTGAATTTGTCATTCAAGAGAATGAAGTAGATTTTATCATAAAATGGAAAATGTTCATCCATCTACAAAGCCATGGTTGGATTACTAACTCAGTGTCTTGAAGATACAACACAAGTAAAATGTTGTGCAACTGAGAACTAGAGCTCGAAACAAAATTTTGGAGCTTATAAGCAGTGTCACATTTGGGTGGGGGCTCATTGGCTATTTTATAAGCACACAAAGTGTGGGACCACATATAAGATGCTACAAATACTCTACACGCAAAGTGTGGATTTGTGTGCTTATAAATGCCACAGATACTCTACACAAAGTGTTAAACCCGATTTCACACTTTGCGTGTTTATAACAAAGTCAAATTAATAGAATTAGATATAATATTGAGGCAAATTAAACTGTCAGGAATAAGTAATAAAGACAATAGCACATGTTCTGCATCTATTAGATCAGAGCAATGACATGTACCCGTGACTTATAAGTAATGGCCCCACAAGATGTGTGACTAAAAACATAGAGTGGACTTAAAATTAGACAATAAATAAAGCACAAAGTTACTTATTGTCTAATTCCAAGTGAGACCAACTTTTAATGCAGTTTTAGCCTCACATTGTGCGAGGCCTATAACTTATAAGCCATGGGCTTATCTACCAAACAAGCCAGTTAAGGGCCAAAATATTCCAAGACAACCGAGTTGATTCAACCTAGCCCACACAATTCAACATTTCTATAGTCCAATCAAAGTAAAGATAATTTCACATCCTACTTATGGGAAATTAATACCTTAAAATACCTTGATCTACATGACCTTAAGAAGCATTTTGATATAACTTGATAACATGACATCAGCTAACTAATATAACGATATTCAAGATACCGTATGAAAGTAATCTTATAACATGCACCCTCTTTTGTTAATCCTTATGTAAAATGCACAATCTTTCATCTTTTCTAATAAATAGAAATGAATGTTACACCATTTTAAAATCGAAACTATACTTACTAACAAAAAATGCTTCATTAATCAACAGAAGTTTAAAATGCTGATGAATTTTACATGAGATTAATTCAGAGAGTAATATAACATTATTATGTTAAGCTTGTGTCATAACAATTATTTTGGGGGTCCATTTATATTTTATGTTTTTAGCAAGACATTGTTAAACAGAAGAAACATAACATCTCATTCCATAAGTACTTTTGCTTTTAACAAGTTTGCCCTGTTCGGATTTTCAATTTGATACGTAATTTCATGACACAATCACGTTGTAGAGTAACTTTTTGGCCCAAGATACACCAAAGTGATAGGTTTTGTTTACTTAATGGCAAGGGTAATATAGCCTTTAGACATGCTTATCAAGGGATACATTTGATACTTCAAAGAAAAGTGTACACAAGGGTGTCAACTTTTGGACCACTATTGTTAATTTCAAAATTTCGAATTTCATAGCAGATTCTACTAAAAATCTTATTTTTAACTAAACCAAACATGGGCTAATTAACATAATAAAATGAAGATAATTCTCTCAATATTTACGAGGGGAAGCTAACCCCTATTCGTAAACCACATTACACATAACTAGTTCCTATAATATTTTACATTAAAGCATGTTTAGCTCAGCTTGAAAGCCGAAAACGGCTTCTGTAGGACAAAAATGCTTATAACAAGTTGTTTTCACACCAAAACCAAACTGATTCCAATTCCACCTTGGAAAGTTTGATAATTTAGACTTTATTAAATAACAAATGAAAATTTTCTTAAAATTTACATGTAGCGCTGTTATTTAACTCCATTCTCGTGGGATATTAATAGAGATGAAGCTGATAGACAACACAACAATTTATGAGTTCTTCAGACCCTAAACCCAATGTTTATTCAAGGGCAAAGAGTATAGTTAAACTCAATTTCAATCCACATAATGAATTCCCAATAAAGATCAATAAAAAAACAGTACTCTTAAGTTTCTTGAAATACATTTGAGGGAAATAGTTATTTTCTGGGTGAAAAAAATACCAGGACATATAGAATTCCTCTTTGCCTCAGTAGATAAGCTTTGATCACGTCTAGCGTAGCTCCACCAAGCAGGTTCCACTGCAAAAGCAGGGACTTGGCTTAACTCCACCTCATTTACTATCCAACGACAGCATCATTGGCACTCTTGATTGTAAATTTATATATCAGAATTGCAAAAATCCCCCATACTAACAGATTGTTTGGCTGTGCTTAAAAGAAGGCTTCTTAGCCAAATTCTCAGCAGCATGCGGAGAAAAGCAGTTAAGAACCCGCTTTGAAGCGCTGCCAAACATTAAATAACCAGAGTTTATAATAAATGTAGACCCAGTCAATAAAATTGGAGTCAACCAAAAACCTTCTTTAGAAGAGTTTATAGCCTCAGAGATTTCCACTGATTTCATGCTTTGATGTAGCATCCTCAAGTAGGTTCTCCCTGAAAAACAGGGACTTGACACCAACCACATCTCAATTATGTGGATTAACTCATCATGGACTACAGATAAAATAAGTTCTAGCCTCCAACACAAAACACTGTTTATCATTATTCACAATTATCGAATGAAAGATAAGAGTTCAGTCAACATTGGATTTTGTAGAGAGAGAGAGAATTCAATATGTTTAAAAAATCTGTCTCAGAAATAAACAGCTTTATCAATCAGCTAAAAAGAAAAGAAGGCTTCTCAGCTAATGTTTCAGAAGCACGCAGGGAATAGAAGCATTGTTTCTAATAAACGTAGTGTCAATAAATTGAAGCCAGCAAAAACCTCTTTTGGTAGATAATATAGTCTCAGAGATTTCCAGTGATTTCATGCTATGATGTAGCAGCCACAAGTAGGTTCTCCCTGAAAAACAGGGACTTGAAGCCAGCCACATCTCAGTTATGTAGATTAACTCATCATGGACTATATATAAGATAATTTCTAGCCTCCAACAGAAAACAATTTATTATTATTATTATTATTATTATTATTCAAAATTTGAATGAAAGATAAAGCTGATTCAACAAGCGATTTTGAACCAAAAAATAATAATTAAATCAGTTATAAGCACGATTTATTAATGAAATACACAAAGTTAGATAAAAATTATACAATCCTGCTACATGTACATTCTTTAGTATCTTTGTTTACATTGTGTCACATGACAACAGGACAATTAAAAAAATAAAAAAGACTATTTTCCTGTCCACAATTTTTTTTTGGAAACAAAAAGGATGGAAAAGCTGTGCAGAGCATTATTCAATTTTTATATCAATTGAATTCTCGTTTACTTTCTCAAGTTATAATTTTGAATAATGCTGTTTGTACAGATTTTTCTTTGAATTGATGATAACATCATCCATGTTTTCAAAAAAATTGTGGCCGAAGAGACGTTTTCTTTTAAACTGTCCAATGATGTATTACCATGTAAACAAAAATGTCAAATATGATATACATGTAGCATGACTAATAAAAATTGGCTCAGAAATAAACAGCTTTATCAATCAAGAATTTTCTGAAGCAGAACTGGCATTAAAAAGCTGTAAAATAGTCATCCCTGCCCACAGAAATTCAAGAGAAAATTCAAATTCCAAAAATTTAAAACAAAAATATAAAATAAATTAAGTTTCAACTCAATATCAAGAAATTCAACCATTATTCAAGTTCATACTTCAAGTATCATAAATCTCAGAAGCGCAGATAACCAATTAATCGTAGCCGAAATTAAACTAAAAAATAAAAAGGAATTCGAGCCTTCTAATTGGTACTGGTGTAGTTTTTGCACGAGCATCTGGGCATCTTCAAGATTATACTTTCTTGCCAGCCCAGAAATTTACGAGCTGTCCAACAGCCAGCGATATACATAGAAGAACTTCGAAGAGGAAGAGTTCTAGGTGAATTTATAGCACAGAACGAGGGTTTTGAGTGAGAAGTTTTCGAGGAAGTTTTGGAGGCGGGGAGTAGTCTAGGGTTTCAGTACATAAGAAATGATACATAAAGGAATGATTCAGAAACCCTAAAGCCCAAACACGCATTTGTAGAGCCGGAAAATGTCGCTTTGTCGAGTTAATTATTTCAATGGTCACTAAACTTAGACAATATCTTTGAATGATCACTGAAATTTAAAATATTGAGTTTTGATCACTAGATCTAGGTCCATGTCTTTAATTCCTCACTAAAATTTAAAATATCGAGTTTTGACCACTAAAATTTAAAAAATATTGTACATTACTCACTGTAAACTCAATATTTTTTAAAATTTAACAGTTATACTAGTAAGTAACGTACAACATATTCTAAGTTTCAGTGGTCAAAACTTGATTTTTTTTTTTGCACTTCAATGAGTAATTTAAGACATGAATCTAAGTTCAGTGAATAATCGAAGACATTGATCTAAGTTCAGTAATCAAAATTTGACATTTTAAATTTCAGTGATCAATAAAAAACATATACCTAAGTTTAGTGACAATTGGAACAATTAACTCCACTTTGTCCGAAAATGTTTGACACCCGAGGTAATCGACCTTCACAAAGTGCGCGGGTCCCATGTGAATTAAATAATAACCAACCCCTAGGGATGTCAACTAGGGCTGGACAAAACTCCCGAATCGAACCCGAACAGAACAGAACCCGACGGTTCTTCTCAAATTAAATACCCGAACGGGTATTTGAATCAAGAACCGACGGGTATGGTTCGATTCTCGATTCTAGGCCAAGACCCGAAGAACCGAATAAGAACCGAATCTCCATAATTTTTTAATTAATTTATTTTAAATAAGTAAAATTATTTTATTTTTTCTAAATAAATTTGTTAACTAGATAATTTAGTTCAAACCACAAAATATGATTTTCCTATTTCTAATATTTAGTTCAAAATCGACTTAATCAAATTGACCTCAATTTTATCCAAATATGTTATTCTACTGTAGTGTCGTTTCTACGGGAGAAAATCGAATTAAAGCTCTACAACATCTCTCTTAATTATTTTGAGCTCGCTATCTTTTTCTTTCTGTGATTTTAATAATCAAGTTTATGAAGAATTCAGTAAAGAGAGACGTGAAACACATAAGATTGAACTACGTTATTTTGTAAGAGCTAATATTAAATATATCATTAATTAAATTAACGTAACTTTGTATATATTAAAAAATTTAATTATAATACGGAGCCGAATGGAACCGAACCGGACCGAACCCGAATGGTTCCGTAATTAAGTTTGGACCCGACGGTTCCACTTATTAAATACCCGAAAATTTCGGGTCGGTTCGGTTCTGACGAGAACCGAACTGAACCGGACCATGTCCAGCCCTAATATCAACGAGCCGAATCGAGCAGACTCGAGAGTCGAAATTTTTTGCTTGGGCTCGGCTTGGGTAAAATGTCCGAGCTTTTTTTCGAGCTCGAGCCGAGCCGAGCCGAGCAAAAGCTCAACCAAAATAATTAGGCTCGACCCAAGCTTTCGGCTATGGCCTTTTCGAACTGAGCCCGGCAGGCTCACTTTTTTTTTTACTCTTTTTTTTTTTTTTTTGCTCTCTCTCTCTTCATATATAGGCAGCAGGCTACATCCTTGGAAAAATGGCAGAGTGTCCTACCTAAAATTAGGCAGCACGTTGCTGCCTTAAAATTTTTAATTTTTAATTTTTTTTGGATATACAAAAGGCCCTCAAGTCATATGGGCCGATTTGGGCTTGGCCCGGGAACCCAGATTGGGACTCGGCCTGAGCTTTGACCGGGCCTGCTCGGGCTTTTTCCAGGCTGAGCCACAGGCGACTTAAGCCAATAAGCCCGATTGCCATTTCTACCAACTCCCGAAACATGTGTTTTCGATCATCTTCTATGTGAACTATTATGTACCCCCTAACTTGGTCCGATAGAGCCTAGATCACATCCTTTGAGGCCCTTGAGGACTTTGTTCAAGCGGAAAATTAATAGTTAGTCCCTGTTTGGTGGGAATTATATCTAATTTTTAACAAATTTTGATAAAAAAATTGATAAAATATATAATCGAAAAGTTGTGAGATTCATAAAATATATGATTAAAATTAATTCTTCATTTTGATTTATATTAAAATTTAGATTTTAATCGGTATCAAACAGGGGTGTGGCCTTGTTTCACAACTATTATTTCAATTTTTTTTAACATACTCATTTTAAATCACATGCCCAAATAAATAATATTTTTTTGCGTACAATCAAATAATTTTCTACCCTTTACCACACAGTCTACTAAAATCATTATTCAACTTTTTTATTTAAAAAAAATAATGACACTCAAACATGGACTTAAGGTAGTTATAATAAACAATTTCAAAATTAAGAAAATTATTTTAAAGTTTCAAAAATCAGGTCTCAACTAAGATTTATTAGTTAAGTAGTTAATTAAAAAAGCCACAATATTATACAATTTATTTTTACAATTACATACATTATAGTTGCAAATCACAAATTTTATAAATCACAACTTATTTATCAGTCACATTTATCCAATTATTTAGTCACGTATTATTTCTTAATCACAAATGAAAAATTTTATAGGTCACAATTTCTTTATCAAACACAATTAATCAAATTAATAAATCATGTATTAATCCTCAATTACAAATCACAAAATTTATAGGTCACAACTTATTTGACAATAATAATTTATCAAATTAATTGGTCACAATTTCATAAATTGTAACTCATAATTATAAATTTAGTCGCAATTTCACAGTTTTAGTTCACATATTATGTATTGATCACAAATAAAACAATGTATTGATCATAATCAATCCAATAATTGATTACGAACACTTTTCATCAAACCCTGATCTCTCCCTAATCCCAATCTACCACTGATACCAATTGAATGCCGCGCCACCTCAATACCATTGTTGTCATTGTGTCTGCGTCATTGCCATCGTCGCCGCCGCCATCATATGTAAACCACCAACAGTCACCAACTAAAACTACCCTAAAACTCATGCTAAGCAAATCAAAGAAGAAAAACCCAGCAGCGACACTCATCACTAGAAGCCACAAACTATAGACAAACACAAATCGCAAACTATCGACACTCAACCAACAAACATCGCCAGTGTAGCGTGCGCAGTTCTACTGCATGTTGTGCCCAACATGGCACACGGCGTGCGACACTGCATATCCTGAGTAGATAGTTAGTGGAGCTCACTGAGTGAGAAAGAGAAGAGAAAAGAAACTTATTTAGGATTTTTGGGGTGATTGATTAATTTAATTTATTAATATTAAAGTTGAATTATCACCTACTTTTTTGAACAAAATTTAAATCTTAATTTTTAATTGGGGAGTTGAAAACAATGGTTGAGTGTAATTTCCTCTTTGTTCAAATTAAATTTCATGCTGGTGCAAATTTCAAAGTTTATACTTAAAAATTATTTTTTGCTTATTTAGCTGAAGATAATAATAGTCGTATAAATGATTTGACATTTATATAGGGCAATATCTAATCTAACACAAGCCTCTCAAATGTCAAGGTGGAGTTAGAGCATCACCAATGCATTCTATTGATTGAAGTTTATGTAACTAAGAAAAGTTTAAGATTGGATGTTTGATGATAGATGGTTACAACGTTCAAATTCATCTATAATGGATTTTGTCTATAACTCAAGTTCCATCTTTAATATTTGATTAAATGTAGAGAGAGAATAATAAACATGAGAGAGAGCTTAAGTATTACTCACTCACTTCATCTAACGTAGTCTCAACATCTAGACAATCATTTTCATAATTTCAACTATTTTTATTGCCCGATCGACTAGAAGGAGTCCTCCTTGTATTGGAGATGAATTTTTGCAAACATCGTTGATTTTGCTTAGCAAGCCTTAAAGTGCTCTAATAGATTATAATCCCATTACCACACTATAGAGTTATACAATGATCAAGGAAGCTTGTGTGAAAGTCCATGATAGTTATTGAAAAATATCATTTTTACTATTTATTCAATAAAGTTAAACAATGTTGAACAAATGGTTACTTAGTTAATGAAAGAAGATTATATTAATTGAATTGTCCTTTTGCTCTGGATAAGATGCAAATTGTGCATTTATTTAGGCCGCATTATTAAGTTTATATGTATTCAATTTATTAATTTCTATTTAACTTGGGTTAATTTTATTTTGATTTTAGCGACGAACCCGTTTGAAGCAAGTGGAAAGGAAGAAGGACATAATCGATTAAAATTTATGATTTGGGATTAAATTTCACAAGTTGAAGTTGAGAAGGACATTGACCACGCAAAGAAAATCGTATCAAGGATTAACTTGCATTGTATGGAAGAATTAAGGACCCCAAAGCAAATATCAATCTAATTGGGCCCTTTTTGACTTGTAGTGGGTAATTGGAATTTAATGGGAATAGGGATTCCTGGGGCCTGCCGGTTGTGGTGTGTGTGTGTGTGTGTATATATATATATATATATATATATACTCTTACACATGCAGTAGGAGAGGAGGAGAAGAAACCTATAAAAAAAAACAGCAGGAGACGGGGGCAGAATTTGCAAGATATATACACACAAAAAAACACAAATAATTGAAAGAAGACAGCTGCTGAATTTGGGAAAGCACATACAATTGTTGGCGCTTGGAAAACAAGAGAGAAGAAGGGAATAGACACACATATAACTGTCGGCTACTGGTGTATATTATATTCATACATAGGCTGCTGGAATTATTTATAAAACACACAACAATTGGGCTGAGAAATTGAAGAAGAACTAGATTTGTTTTGTGAGTCAATAGGACGGTTATGAGCATCATGAAGACATAAAAGGCTGCTGAAATACATACATATATACACGGCTGTTCATCAAGTATATATACACACAAAAATCGCGATACATTGGAGAAAAAAGTGGCTGTTGGAGTTGAAATTGAAAGGAAAAGGCGGCTTGACACGAAATTGGAAAATAAATTCACTTTCCGTCAATTTCTCGGTGATGTCTTTCCAATTTTTTGTGTTTAATTCCAACAATATGTTAGGCTAATTTTTCTCATGTATTGGATAAAGATGAAACCCATAATTATTTATTTTTAATTCAAGACAGGTGATATAGTTAAATTCTTGCAATTGTTGATTAATCTTGCATGCTTAATTTTATTATTTGATTGCTTAATCACCAATTAAATATATGATTGCTTGTTGTCGTGTTGGGAAGCTCACAATAGGTTTAGAACACTGCATGATTAACATACGTGCAATAAATTTTAGGAATAAGATTTATCACGTGTGCAATATTTGAGATAATTATGAAATTGAATGCGTTCTATTCATATGAATTCGGACTAGGAAAAGGATCGAGTCGTGAATATGATAGATTTAATTTGTCTTGGAAAAGAAAATTAATTACAATAGAATTTTCGATTGTCAAGAATGCAAGAGCGAAACCAGCTACGTAGTCGAAAATTGGAATAGATAATAATAGGTGGATTCGTAATCCAATACACTCTTCCCATATACATATTAAATTCACATTTTACATGTTTTCGTAGATTAAATTAGAATAATTAAAAATCACAAAAATCACTTTTATTCATTTACTTTGAATCTAATTAAATACTAGTATACTTAATTAAATTTTATTTTTCGTGGGACGATACTCTTAACTCACTAAATTTATTACTTGTCAACGATCCCGTAAGCTTGCGGGTTTCATACGAACAAGTTTTTGGCGCCATTGTCGGGGAATAATTTATTTAATTTGAGTTTATTAGTTATTTTTAGATTTGCAGTTTTTATTCATTTTTCTTTTTCTTTTCCTCTTTACTTTATTTGTTTAAGGCTATTCATCGAACGATCTAAGTCTCTCGTTTTACTCTTTTTAGAAAATCACAGTTTATGCAAACTTCTGACAAGATTGAGCTTCTTCCAATAGATCCCGAAATCGAAAGGACTTTCATACAACGAAGAAGAGAGCAGAGATGAGTGAGAGATATGGCAAAAAACCAACATCAGAATCAAGCTCAAAACCCATTGCCACTATCTCAGCCAATTCAACCAGATCCGTCGAGGGCAGTAGCAAATCATGGAGAAGTTTCAGTGAGAGATTTTGTAAATCCAGTGCCAGCACCAATTCAACCTCCGATTATCTATTCGCCCTTTGGACAAGCTAACTTCCACATCCGACCAAATGTCATAAACCTTTTTCAAAATCATCAGGTTCAACGGGAAAACTACGAAAAATTCACATGAACACATTCAAACTTTTACCATGCAGTGTGACGTAATTAGCCACAAGGGGATGTCACGGGATGCATTTCGAATGTGTCCATTTCCTCACACTTTGAAGGAGGGTGCAAAAATATGGATGATGTCACAACCTCCTGGGAGCATTGTATCGTGGAATGATATGATTCAAAAATTTACCATGAAGTTTTTTTCGCCAACTCGAGTTCATCAAATTCGGAATGAAATCCACACATTTAAGCAGAAAGAACTCGAGAGCTATCCAGAGACATGGGAAATGTATAAGAACTTATTAAGGAAGTGCCCTAATCTTGAAATTCCTAAACAAGTGCAAATGTACATCTTTTACTATGAAATACGCCAAGAATTCAAGAATATGGTAGATGCTTCAGCGGGAGGATCGATAATGGCTATAAACGTGGACGATGCTTATGAGCTGTATGAGAGGATAGCAGAAAATCAATCGATGTGGCCAAGCGACAAGGAAGTCTCGAGGAAAACAACTGGCATATATAATGTGGATGCAGTGATAGCGTTGACAGCACAGATGGAGGCAATAACTAGAAAGCTTGACTCTTTGACCCATTCTGTGAATATGGTACAAACTCCAACTCCGAAGTGTGCAAGTTGTGGGGTGGATCATATTACCGCAAATTGCTCTTTGGCTTCTACTCACATAGGTCAACCAGCAAATGTCAGTTATGCGCAGAACTATCAGAGGCAAAATGGACCTTACACATACAACTACCATCCGAGTTTGAACAAGCATCCTAACTACGCGTGGGTTGATAATTCAGATCAAGTAAATCAGATGAGGGGCAATCCACTAGCAATTCAGCAAAAAGAAGAAAAGAGGCAATCATTGGAGGAGACGGTGATACAGAATCAGCAAGCCTCTATACATAACTTAGAGAAACAGGTGGGACAGATAGCAATTGCATTAGCCAATAGAGCACAAGGTACTCTATTGAGCGATACAAAAAAGAATCCAAAGGAACAGGTATTAGCTGTTGAAGTTGTAAATTATGCAACTATCGAGACACCATTGATCAAGCCTGCTACACCTGTTCAAACTTATGTGTTGCCTATCCCATTCCCTCAAAGGCTTCAAAGACAACCTAAAAATGAACAAGCCCAGGCTATCACAACAAGAAGCAGAGTTCAGCTGCCAGAAATCACAGTGAAGAAGAAGGGGACTGAGGAGAATCGAATACCTACCTCGGGGAAAGAACAAGTGGGCCAGTCTGAAAAAATATCAAATGTTAATTAAGAAGATCAGTCAGACAATCCATAGGTTAAGGCAACCGCTCTTAGCAATAAAAACACACATTTAGTTCCATTCCCTTAATGGTTGCAAAACAATAAACTAGAAAAACAATTCAAAAATTTCTTGAACACCCTCGAACAACTTCACATCAACATTCCTTTTATTGACGCTATTTTACAAATTCCAAATTATGCTAAGTTTTTGAAGGAGATATTGACTAAGAAGAGAAAGCTGCCAGAACATGAAACAATAGCACTATTTGAAGAGTGCATTGCGATCATCCAGCACATTATCCCTCCCAACCTTAAAGATCCATAGAGTTTCACTCTACCTTGTTCCATAGGAAATTTAAATAATATAAATTGTTTAATTGATTCAGGAGCAAGTATTAATTTAATTTCCTTACCTCTTTACAGAAAGCTGGGATTAGGAGATCCTAAGGCGGCATCTATTATTCTTCAGCTAGCGGACCAATCACTGAAACACCCTTACGAAATAGTCGAAGACATTCTTATCAAGGGGGGGGGGAGTTTATTTTTCCAGCTGACTTCATCATCCTGGACATTGAAGAGGCATCTCAGATGTTAATAATTCTGAGAAGGCCATTCTTGTCTACAAGCCGAGCCTTGCTAGATTTTGATGCTAATGAAATAGTCTTGAGGGTAGAGGATAAACAACAGAGCTTCACCATGGAGAATTCAATCAAGCAACCATCATACTTTGAGGATTGTCAACGAGTAGATCATTGGGTGAGCTACAAAGGCAGACCAAATGAAGGTGAAATTGTTGGTAGGGACACCAATGAAAATTTAATTGTGTGGAGGGTGAAAGATGAAAGAAGGAAGTGCAATCAGTGCATAAAATGTAGAGCCGAAAACTCTCTCTTCAAGTTACCATGAATGACCAAAATAACAAAATCTAGCTAAAAACTATAAATTAAGAGCTTATTGGGGGCAACCTAATTTCATTACCATTTATTTATTTTGCTTTCTGCATTGCATTGCATATAGACTTGTTCTGATTATTAGTTTGCATTAGATTTATGCACGTTTAAATTTAGAGGGTATCTTCATCCTATCATGTTTCCACTTAGACCTTTAAGTTGAATGTTGGTTATTTTGAGTGTTTGGGCTAAGTAACACATGTTCTAGGTTATTTGATTTCTAATGTTTGATTTGATTGTCATACGTAGGAACATGACCTCGTAAAACACTCAAACCAACATAGATCAAGAGAAAAGCATGATGAAGAATATTGTCTAGCCGCCACCCATAATCCCTTCCAAACTCACTAGAAAAATCTAGGGAGTACCTTAGTCCTTTTCTTTCTTGTCCCCTTACATTCTTAATTATCTTTAAGACATTGAGGACAATGTCGGGTTTAAATTTGGGAGTGGGAAAAACTTTAAATTTTTTGGTTTTCGTAAGTTTTTTTTCTGAGCATTTGTTTTTGTGTGTTTATTTAAAAAGAAAAAAAAAATTGTTTTTGTGTGCTAAATTTTAAAAAAAAATCTTCAGTTTTTTTTTTAATTCTTGGTTGTGTGTTTGTGTGGGTTAGACAGTTTGACTGACAATGATGATTAAAATTGAAATTTGGTGTTGATTTATGAACTGTGGATAGGATGTATGCCAGACTGATTGAAACTTAAAACTTGATATTATATGCACACTAGAACTGAGCTGACATTGTGATGAAATAAATTAATTCATGCATGTGATAGATTGATGTAACTGGACATAGATGTTTTACCCAAACCATACCAATTATCTATCCTTAGACCAAATTTAGCACAATTTGGGGATCTTACTGCTGTAGGAAAATACGGATGTGAATGTGGATTCCTTGTATAAAAAGTTTGTATGGATTGTCTGAGATTAACAGGATAAAATTGGGTGAAAATCTTAAATTGGAGGTCGATTTGCTTGAATAGGTGTGTGATAAGGGGCATTGTACTAATCAAGGCATATATTTTGAAATTTAAAATTTCTCTATGGAGCTTTTATGACTTGAGCAACTAAGCCTGCAAGGGTATCTTAAAATTTGGTGCCCTAAAATCATCTGACTTGAGAGTCATTGGCCTAAAGCCTACTACATGGGTCATCTAAAAAGCTTAAAGGGGAGTGAAAAAAAAAATTTAAAAATAAGAAAAAGCAAGTGCATGAAAAAAGGGAAAGCACTTATTGCCTTGTTAAATCCCAACACTTGTTCAAGGGAGTTGACGTTCAATGAAGGATAATAGTCTAATTGAGTCTTGACAGTCCAAGCAATCAAATAATTTGAGAATCCTTATTCATTGATGTGTAGACTTGCAACCAGTGACGTCAACCTGAATTGGAGATGTGAGAATATTATTGAAAAATTCAATCTTAGATTACACTCTGGGAAAAGAGTGAAAAAGAATAAGTTTGAGGGTGTGTGAATCTTACGAGAGATTCAATATTTGACCATAGAGGGTCGGGAATTAAAACAATTTATGAATTCATTAATGTCTACTTAGTTCTTCACACACACACGCCGGTTTTGCATTGGAAAAGTGGATATTAGTTTGGTATTGTGACTTTGAAGCGGTTTGTAGATTTAATGCCGTGATTTTAAATCCCGACGTAAAAAGTTAAACAGTTTAACCAAATAATTTTGCATGTCTCTGTGTTTGTTCGAGGATGAACAAAAGTTTAAGTTTGGGGGTGTTTGATAAGTGCAATTTGTGCATTTACTTAGGCCACATTATTAAGTTTATATATCGTCAATTTATTAATTTCTATTTAACTTGGGTTAATTTATTTTGATTTTAGTGACGAACCCGTTTGAAGCAAGTGGAAGAGAAGAAGGACATAATTGATTAAAATTTATGATTTGGGATTAAATTTCACAAGTTGAAGTTGAGAATGACATTGACCACACAAAGAAAATTGTATCAAGGATAAACTTGCACTGCAATATGGAAGAATTAAGGACCCCAAAGCAAATATCAATCTAATTGGGCCCTTTTTGACTTGTAGTGGGTAATTGGAATTTAATGGGAATAGGGATTCCGGGGGCTGCCAGTTGTGGTGTGTCTGTGTGTGTGTATATATTCTTACTCTTACACATGCAATTGGAGAGGAGGAGAAGAAAACCTACAGAAAAAAAGGCAGGAGTCGGGGGCTGAATTTGCAAGATATATACACACAAAAAAACACAAATAATTGAGGGAAGACAGCTGCTGAATTTGGGAAAGCACATACAATTGTTGGCGCTTGGAAAACAAAAGAGAAGAAGGGAATAGACAAACATACAACTGTCGGCTATTGGTGTATGTTATATTCATACATAGGCTGCTGGAATTATTTTTAAAACACACAACATTTGGGCTGAGAAATTGAAGAAGAACTAGATTTGTTTTGTGAGTCAATAGGGCGGTTATGAGCATCATGAAGACATAAAAGGCTGCTGAAATACATACATATATACACGGCTGTTCATCAAGTATATCTACACACAGAAACCGTGATACATTGGAGAAAAAAGTGGATGTTGGAGCTGAAATTGAAAGGAAAAGGCGGCGCAACACGAAATTGGAAAATAAATTCACTTTCCGTCAATTTCTCGGTGATGTCCTTCCAACTTTATGTGTTTAATTCCAACAATATGTTAGGCTAATTTTTCTCATGTATAGGATGAAGATGAAACCCATAATTATTTATTTTTAATTCAAGACAGGTGATATTGTTTTGCGCGGGTTCGTCGCTAACAATTAAAAAGGGATCAGACGATTGTGTAAGGGACAAACCTCTTGAGACAAAGTCCCAAAAAGGGGTGTTCTTTATCGACGATGTCTTTACAATCAGAAAGTAAAAATAGAATGCCTCCAAGGGGCGCAAGCACACGAGTTACTGAAAGAAGTGTTTAAATCTAAACTAAGAAATTTAAAATTACATGTTCTCTGTTCGAGAGTTTTTTTATTCGGGGATCTTTTGCTCTATGTCTTTTCTTCCTTTTATACTCCATGGATGATCTCTTTGTGATCAACCGCCTAAAAACTGCTTGATCGTTCTATAACTGCCCACTTTCCTCGTAATGGCCAACTTGTCATGGAACTGCCTTTTTTAACTGCTGCCATTACTCTTTGTCGTTCAACCGTTTTCGATTGAATTCCTTGAATCGTGGAACGTGATAGGGCTGCTTAATAACTGCTTTGATAACTGCGCTTCTTGATAACCATAACACTTTATGTTTGCCAAGATCTTGGGCGACTCGAAGGTTTGGGCAAGAATATAGTAGCAGCTCTGGGCGACTGCACAACATTCCATTCGCTCAGATCCTGGGCGACTTGCAAGCTTGGGCGATGGTGTTACCACGTTCACGGGCCTCCCTATTTGGGCCTTCATCCTGAATTGTCTGATTAGGCTTCGTTCTTTGGGCTATCTGATTTGGGGATCCTCCAATTGGGCTTCATTCCTTGGGCTGTTCGATTTGGGCTAAATTTTTATGTGTCAACAATTACCCCCCAATATGGCAGAATTAATACCAATTATTAAATTTTGTCATATTCACTTTTGTGTTTCCAGCAACATTCGAAATTCCCAAGAATTTCAATCATTGTTTTCTTCCATAGCTTTGAAAAGGTGCGACGTTTTGCAAACCCTTATAACCCCCAAATACGCCATTTCACTGCACCATTAAATCACGCCTCACTTTTTCGAGCTTCTCTCTCACAATTTTACTGTTCATCTCTTTGCTTCCCTGCTACGTAACTCTGAAAAACTCCATTTCGTCCCTAATGGCTACTTCTCAATCTCAATCTGGCGACTCCTTTAGTTTTGAAGACTTTCAGAAACTCCTTAATCGCCCATACATAACTCCGAACTTTCTCGCACCTGCCAATGTCGAACTCAATGAGTTCTACCTAGGTCCTTTCTTCAACAATGCAGAGGTAGTCGAACAAGCGGCGGTGGGCCAGCTGTTTCCTTGTACTCAAGGCCCTCCATTTCTAAACTATCTGCCGCTGGGGCCACTTCGCGAAAGAGGTATTCGCACTTGGCCCAAATCTGACGTAGTTTTTCGTAGGTGGCATGCTCGCCTTGTGGACCATGGTCCTACTAAGGCACTTTTTGATAATGCTAGGATTTCTAATTTGTTAGAAATCTCTCTTCAACCCCCTACTTTTGATTCAACACTTTTTTCGATTGCTTTAAGTTTTTGGTCTTCTGAATATAATACCTTTGTTTTCCCTCTTGGCCCCATGTCTATTACTTTATGGGATGTTGGGGCCCTAATGAATCTGCCACCTTTGGGCGATACCATTTTTCCCGGTATCTTGGTTTCTGGTGGCGCCCCAAAGTTTGGTAAAAACCTCACCGAGTCTTATTCAAGCCTGCAAATCCTTCATAACCATTCGAGCGCTGAAGCCTTCCCATACTGAGCGAGTGGCCTTTCTTCTGGTTTGGATTTGTAAATATGTTTTGTGTGTGCCAAGCATAAAGCCCTCCCTGAACTATTTACTAATAGCGCACGAATTGGCGCGTGGCAGGCCTCTGAATTTATGTTCTTTCTTTTTGGCTGCCCTCTATAGAGGCATGACTTCTCTTCAAACTCAATTGAAGAATGGTGCATCTCTCACTGGCAGTGGACCTCTTTGGTTCACTCAAATGTGGTTGAGATCCTATTTTCCATTGCTTGGTGCTCCATCAATTTCTCGTTCTTCTGCTAGCTGCTATGGGCTAGCCATTGAGCCCCTGGCTCCTGTAAATATATCTAGAAGGGACATTTTTTCATTCTTTTATTCTTTGGATTCAATCCCTTCATTCTTTCATTTTCTTCCCTTTTTGACTCCAGACTATGTGCATCCTCCCTCCACTATAGACAGCGTGAGCA